ATGCGATAGTTTGAACAATTAGGAATTAGATAAGGCATATAATGTATTTTTCTGCACACAAATAGTGTTTGGATCTCAAGTTTCCCCCTGATGAGGCCCTTAGGCAAGGCCGAAACCTTCCATGCCTCTGTAAGCTAACGTAGTGAAAATTCTAGTCAGCGAGGGTATAGGGTGTATTGTCGTCGTCAGATGACTCAGATGAGTAATGATTCGCGTCTTCAAAAAGTTCCAAGTATTTTGATGATCGGGTGGTCAGATATTTGTCTGGTTCGTGTCTTGCTATACCTAAGTACCATATAACACTTGTGGCATGACTACATGTTCCGACGGTCCTCGAACCGACTGGACATTGACAACATGCTCCGGTGACAGTCTCATCATTGTACTTAATCAAAATATGGTAATTTTTTCTGGCTGAATGTTTGCTTTGAAGGTTTACACGAAGTAATTGTTTATCTTCCTTTCGAACTCGTATTTCATATTCTCCGTCAAGATCTAAGTGTTCGATTGTATAGTTACGCGCTTGTTTCACCTGAAAAACATCAAGTGTAAACTCCCTGAGTTTTTCTTCAGTCAATATTGGAAAGTCAGGACAGGCTTGCGCAGCGTCATATTTTAGCCATTGTCTAGCTTTCATAATGTCTTCGTCTTCTAAGTTTTTCTCCAAATCATTAATCATATCTTTTCGTTCAAAAAACGCTTTCGCTAGTTCTTCATCATGTGATGTGTCATTGATAAAACTTGGGCGGTAGGCATTTATTAGGCTAGCCACGATCGAAAGATAGCCATGAACAAATTTCAACGATGAATTTTGCACGACCTTGTCGAAAAATCTCCATTGTTTGAGCCGCCCGTTAACATTTTCAGCTACAAATCGCAGTGCAGTGATGAATCTGTTATTTGTTAGCTTGTTGAGTGGTATATTTTCTAGTTGTTTTTGGAAGAAACAAAGGCATGAATGTTCTATAACTCATATTTCCAAGGGCTTCTAGACAGTCACGAAAGCCCCTGTCCAGTACAAGTATATCATTTTCTTGCAACCGACTCCTGATATTCTCTTTATTCAGACTGAAAATATGAGTGGCGATGCTGGCATCATTATTATGCCAGTCGGACAAATAGGACCCAATAATTGAAACGATATATCCTGTCGAAGTACAAATGACCATTGGTTAAAGTAAGGGGCGGTTTTTGTGAAGACTAAAAAGACGTCGTTGCAGTAAGTTGTTGGCACTTTTCTGGCAATAGATATAGGTTCCATCCATTATTAAGATCGCTACTTCCTCACCTTCTCCGAGTAACAATTTTGCCAGAGGTCTCGTATGATATTTGATTACCGATTCAAGTGTAATGTGAGAAAAGCCCAAATGTGACGGAACAAAAGATTTCAATAGAGCATTATACGCACTTTCATTTATGTATGCAACTAGACGGTCGTTCGAAAAAGAAAATAGAGTTTTCAGAACATGATTACTTACACCGATCCGAAGTTTTGTAAGGAGGCAACCGATGGCCATTTCAACAGACCTGTTATTCGTATCTCTCATATCGACATAACTGCATAGGTCTTTGAATTGTTCCTTAACTATTCCAATGAATGTCATATAATCTTCGTCGGTATGACGCAATGGATCGTCAAAAGTTAATGGCGGTAGTATATGCATGTAGGCGACAGTGAGATTCTTTAACATAGACTGTAATTCTTTAATCAATGTGGAAATAGTATCATCGGAGACAGTACAGTTTTGTTCGGTATTGCTCTGTTGAATAGTTTGGATCGCAATCTCATTGATGTTGTCATTTTCAATGTGCTTGGGACAGGACCGTGATCCTTCTCTAAAATATATTGGATGAAACGCAAGTGCATTCATTCTTACGCGATCCGATATAGTAACACATGTTTTTGCTTGAAAATCCTGTCGGCATATCGAACAATATTTTTTGGAAAAAGGTGGAAAGATAATATGTAATTTTAGCGTATTACTCGTAAGCAAGTCGCATTGTAAAGCGGCGTTTTTGTGTGTAATTGTGGTAGAAGTGATGGTGAATCGAATCGTTTCAGTGCTGATCATGCTACGACTATCGGTTTCCATAGCATTATCATTTGCTGGTACTTTGGTTTGTTCGATACTTGATAGTTTCTTCAAATATTTACTTTGTCTTGTTCGGCAGGCAGAGCAAATGACGACATCTTCGGGTAAAACTGTACCATATAATTTGTAATATAAGTCATTAACGTAATCAAACATCTCTCGATTATTGATTAAAATGCGTTTTGATTCTTTACGAAGATCTTTTTCACATAAGCCACAACGGCTGGTATCAAACACCATTTTTCTTGTAACTGAAAATAACTTTGGCAGTAGTCGGGCAAGCTCAATTAAGAAGTAAAGATTTGAGTTTAATAGACGTACAGTGCGTGAAGAATGTACATAGAGAATTTAAAGGTCAGCGATAATTGCAAAACGTATCCCGGGCTGCCTCGACCATCCATTTCAATGTAAGACCTTTTACACAGGCATGGAAGGTTTCGGCCTTGCCTAAGGGCCTCATCAGGGGGAAACTTGAGATCCAAACACTATTTGTGTGCAGAAAAATACATTATATGCCTTATCTAATTCCTAATTGTTCAAACTATCGCAT